TGTTAAGCGGGCTTCCACCGGGGATCGTTCACGATTCGTCGTGCTCAAAGGCTCAGAGGCAGCCGAGCGACAATGCCGACGACGAAACGCCGCACCACTGCGGGCCGCGACAGGCGAAGCCTTGAGCTTCCGGCTCGGAGGCAAAGGCCGTGACGTAGAGGAGCCTCCTTAGCTTGCTAGATCTAGGACCGCCAGGACTCCTCTCTTCATAAACAAGCTCCGCAGCTGCTTTGTCCAGTGCCACCTAGCCGCACCAAAATAAAGTGAAGTCGCAGGATCGGCGGGGTATGGACAGGCAACAACTCGCCACACTCCGTCCCAGCTCACTTTCAGGTCAGTCCTGGCTAGGAAACTGTTGGGTCCAGTGAACCCGTAGTTCCAGCAGCATCCCAGGTCGCCACTTGACTCAGACAAGCATCGGAAAGCCTCTGGAGAAGTCAGCCGGGACGCTTTGCCCAAAGCGCTGCGAAGGAGGTAGCCGTCCCAAGGCCAGTTCGAAGCAGCGAGATCTCGACCTGCTGTCATGACTGCATCGTCATCAAGGTTTTGCAAAAAAATGCGTCCCACATCGCAACAAGCGCCACAAGTCAAAACTTGCTTGAGCTTTGCATCTTGGCTTTCACCGTCCCCGCGGCAAATTCAGGCGAGACGCGATGGCCGTTTCTGAGCGCCAGCAAAAGATTCGTGACCCAAAGTCAAATTCACGAGGCCCGCTTGGGAAGAGCCTGGCCAGCGAGTGTTCTGCAGGAATGTGACCACCTGCGATTGTGACCCCAACTGAAACTTTACTGCCCGGCCCGGCCCGACCCCCGCCCGATCTAGACACTCGATGGGGACAGACTTGACATGTCGGTCCCCCCAATTCTGCTAACTGCTGGCTGCACCAGATCCAGTATGTACTTGTGCACAGGAAGAATAGTTTTGGGATTGGGCGCAGGGCCAAGACACAACTCGACCCAACCGAAAAGCACAAGATTATTTGCACGAACAAGAAGCAGAGCATGACGGGACAAATGATATCTGCGTATCAGCTTTGCTCTTTTGAGGTTGGCCTGCTGCGTGTTGACGCGAATACATGCATGCTTCTTTCGGCCACCGTGCCTGCAGTCAGGTCCTGGATGAGCTTGGAGACGGCCGTGGCCACCTTTTGATCACCTGACTCCCAGCGCCAGGCAGACCCCAAAAGCATGTGCACAGCCGTTGAGCACCTTGTGCCTCTGGGCCGAGTCTAAGTGTCCTGGCTGGCCCAGTCCCATCGAAAGGCTTCTGGATGAGCCAGACGCAGATGCTGCGACAAGACGCCGTCCACCAGACCCTCCGCCTCACCTCTTCATGATTATGAGGCACTACCGGGAAACACTTTGCCTATTCAGAGTCCATTCTGTGTCGATCTCGCAGCTTTTGGCTCCGAATTCTGCATAATACACCGTGCACCCATGTGCACACAAGGCCAAACCGTAAATAGCCGTGGCCGAGATGGAGGTTTCTGGCGGGTTGCGTTTGTGAAATCTCCCCACCCAGGCCGAATGTGATCCCGCACATGTATCACGGACACTGTTCAAGTGCGTGCACGTCCCCAGTGTTTCAGGACTCAGGGCTCGGGTGTGTAAGGCCCTCAGTCACTGATGCTGCTGACTTTCTGAGGTCGGAGGACGTGACAACTGTTCCGACATAAACGGTGAACTCCTTCCAACACATACATGTCGAGCACCTGAACATACCTACCAACGACCAGTGCTGCCTTTTAGACAACTTGCCTTGCCTCAGACACAAACTCTTCTGCTGTTGACCTCGCTACACAGTCTTACGCATTACATCCTGCAATTCATCTACGTGTTGCACTTGCAGGCCAGCAGACCCCGGGTGGCCAGGGCGAACTTGCCGAAAAATCAACAAACTTTGAGAGCCCAGCACCTGAGTCAGGAGCCAGCTTTGGACAAACAGGTCCGCTCATCGAGGAGCAGCTGCTGTGAGGACGACGACGAGCGACGAGCTCACGTTCGTCAATTACCTCAGTGATCGCTGCCAGCTGCTTGACTCTAAACCGCTAGAAGAGATCTAGCTTCAAAAAAATCTGACAGGCCACAACATGGTCACGCAGCCTCAAGACCTAGGATCATGGGAGTGATGCGGAAACACAGGGAAGCAAGACAACAAACAGGAAGTGTCAACTCCTATCTTGCCGGCAAGTCTCCAGATGTCCAGTCTGATGTGACAGCACCGAGACAGCCGACAGGGCAAGCTGAGCCTGCAATACACAAGCCACTAAGGCAGCTTTGGCTTCCCGCACAAGGAGCGCGCCCATGGCAGCACAAATAACCCATTTGTGTTTGGGAAGCTTCTCTGATGTGCACGAACAAACGTTCTGTTTATGAAAAGATGCATACACAACGAGCCATACGGGAGTTGACGCATCATCTCTCGTGACCATTCGTGACCAACGACATACACGGGCTTGAGCAAAGCAGACGACTGCAGAACCCGGTAAGACACTTCAAGCTGCATTGCACGGAGTGCTACGACGACACAGTCTGCAGTCATGTCCACTTTGGACGGGCTGTTCCGGGCCAAGCTAAACAGTGACACGGCGCAGCATTGGCACCCGTGACCATGACGCGACCCGTGAAGTGGTCCAAGTGCACAGCCCTCACGCCAAGCCAGTGACTGAAGAGTGCCAGCCTATAGTGGCCAGGAACCATCTGAAGAGTTCGACGACGAGTTGGGCTATAGAGCTGATTCGGAAAAACAAGCGTCAGTAAAAAGCTCGACGATTCAAGGAATCCAGACCGTCATATTCGAAGACTGGCGCTTTATGAGAAATCCCGCGGGATTTCGGACGACGGCTTGCCCAAATCGCAAGAACTCTGTGAAGACTTTGCTTAACTTTCTGCGATTGAGGCAACGGCTAAGTCCGAGGGCCCGGCAAGCACTGCGACAAGGGCACTCAGGGCGAAAACCCGGGCACCGGCGGAGTACTGTGCCATGCGGCTGTTCCTCCTCTATATGCTCGTATACTGGCCGTGGTAGGAAGTCTTCAGGTCATCTGGCGGTACGGCATGACCGAAGCTTGTGTAGTCGAATTCGCGGCCTTTGAGCTGATCGTCCTTGCCTGCACCTCGTTCTGGGAAACCTTCGCCAGTGCCAAATTACACTGTGACTTGCTTATGAGCACGCCACATCTGCTTGCAGCTTGCATGCTCTGTGGCTTTGTCATCGACAAATGCAACAACACTTTGCAGTTCCCGACGCATGCACCGCAAGGTCTGTTGTTTTGAACGCCAGGAATGTCTGGGTGGGGGCGACATTCTGAAGGTTGACCATTTTACTGACTGAGTTATTTACATCTTGCATCAAGGTATCAATAAGAATCTATAAACCTGAAAACTTGGCCGTCAATTCTTCAATACCCACCTATCCCATTGATCCACATCCACCTGGATCCGCTTGAGCCGCTTGAAACTACCGAGGACAGCGCCAAGCTACCAGCGATAAGTCAACCCGGGATCCGTAGAAACTCCTGGCGCACGTGGCGTTGAGCATGGATGGATGTCAGAGGCTGGAACATGCGGGCCCAGGAGATGCTTGCTTAAGGTTGACAGCCGGCGGCTCAACTTAGAGAATCACAACCGCTGTTCAATAAAGATGTCTCATGTTCTCGACATGTTTGCTGGCATCCGGCACTGTTGCAGGGAATGTCTGTTAGCGAGTAGCTTCAGTTGCGATAACATGCGTGACGTGACCTTCAAACTTTGCCTAGTAGCGCTTTCCGGTTTTGAGCCAAGGGAATCGAGGGCGTTCTGAAGGTCTCCTCCACATGACAATTGTCCCCTAGCTTCGGAACAGTCGATGTTGTGGAGTCCGTCTGCTTGTGTACCAACAAGACCTGGCGAAGCTGTGAAAGCCGCTGTTTCAGGCAACGCCGCAAGGTCTCCATTCCAACTCCAACCTTGATTGGACAAATCATGTCCGTGCACCCAAAGACTGGAGCGGAGCGTGGATGCAACGGGATGCCAGAAAATGTCACATGATAGGCGAGTCAAAACAAATCCTGTCAGACTTGTCTGCTGATGGCTTGCCTGGGCTGCCCTACCACGGCAGTCTTGAAAAAATTGGTCGGACATGTAGTCCGCCACTGGCCGCGTCCCAGGTTTCAGGGAGCTCAGCAGTTTGCGGAGTCAGATTCGACGTATGCAGGAGTGTGATCTTCAAACCTGCTTCGTTTTGTTTGTCCATACCACACACACGCCGAACCGTTGATCGGGATGGACCCACATGAAATCTCCGGTGAAACGGGTTCTTGTTCCACCAGAGCCATGCATCTGTGACCACTCCAAGACAGGAGATTTCATCTTCGCGACTGCTCGCCAACATCCATCAAGGCCGTTTGTCACCAGAGTCCTTAATCGCCTCCTCACCTGTGATTGCCCATGCCAGAACCGTCTAGACCCCATACTCTCATCATGCTCACGGTGCTCTACTTCCTCTGCCTGTCCAAGCCAAGCAAGCCGAGCCATCCGCGCATGTCCCGAGACATCAGCGAGTGTCAAAAGCCAAAGAGCGTCCGAAAACATCTGAGCACATCTAAGGGTCTATACTGGTTGAATGCCGCTACGTTGTGTAGAGAGCATTCTGCAAGGCAATTGCTTAGGATTCCTCTCAGGGGCCCAACGAAGCACATGAACATAAGGATCCTATCTTAGGGCCCCCTATCAGTGGCGATTCCGATTTTTGTGATTGCCTTGCATAGTAGAATTCATCTGCCGAACTCTTTACAGGCAGGAGCATGCAACAATCCTTCGGGCAGAGTCGCAGTATGTCCAGATGTGGCTCTCTCATGAGCTGTCTCATGAGACACGACACTGCACCAGGGAAGAGTGGAATGTGTAAGCGCAGTGGGCCGCGGAGCAGATGTGTCCGAGCAAGTCGGAAGTTACAGGGCCCCGTACCGCAGCTAGGTAATCTTTGCCAAGGGGATGCAGGCTGAAGCTTCGGTAAAGCCGTCAGCTCATGCCTGCAACAATGCGCCCGTATCCTCAGTAGGAAACTCTCATGTCCAAGAATGCTTGCCTGTGCATGCACTTCCCCTGAACATCAAGGGGTGTGTCATGGGCTTGATGACAAGGACAAGCCCACATACTGGTATCTAGTTCAGGCAGAAGCGCTAGATCTCAGCAGCCGAGTCTGATTTGTCCCGAGAATGCGTAGAGCTTCCATCCTGGAAAACTCAAACCATGAGGCACTCATTAGCAACCCGAGGCATTGCGAGAATCGACTGGCCCGCTTCATGTAGTCAAACAGCCAAACCTGTGTTGAAGAAGAAACGAAGCACGGGATCACTCCATACTGGAATGTATGTGCATCAACTATCAATTGCGGCGACTGCATGACTGCTGCATGTCTGCGAACGTCCTGTCTGGGCTGTCGAGAACCTCCACGACCTCTCTGGCTGCAGGATGTCCATGCCGGCTACATGCAAGGCGGATCAAAACTGAAGGCTCCTGCAGACAATCGGCGCTTTGCATCCCAGGGTCACGCAGTCACGATCCCCACACAGTGATGCTGATTAGAGCATGTCCTTGAGGATGGCTCTAGCCAGGGAAAGACGACTTGGCCGTGAAGCAGATGTCATGGCACAGCTTACGACTGCGGCGCCATACTGATCTGAGCCTTAGGCTTGAAAGCGCTTGGATATCAAGACTGCAAGGTCCTGCAAAGCGACACAAGACTGCCTTTCATGCATCTCGGTCGAGCGGCTCAGCGCATTGAGATGCTCCTGCAAGTAACTCAACTAGGGCCAGCTGTGTGAAATGGACGTTCATCGCATAAGGATTGCCGTAACGTCCTCTAGGGCCTGGCACACCTCGGACTGCAATGGGCTGTGCTGCAGGACGTGTTGCATAACCTCACTGGAAGATCAGGAGCACGAGCCATGTGCATGGACTCTTCCTCGGCAAAAGCCCTTACAGCGGTGCTGAATCTTACTGCCAGCTGTGGCATCTGCTGACGGGACACATAGTTTCCGTAAGCGTGGCAAGAGACCAGCGGCACCTCTGCTAGAAGTGAGCGCCTTTGTTCGCAAAGCAGGATGAGCAAACTCACCTCACGTTGCTGCAGAAGGTGGAGGCAAAGTCATCTCTTGGAGATCTCCAAGCGTCCAAAGACAGAATTCCCGTGAGCTTAGTAGCAACACCCCATGCCTCACCCCTTCCGAAAATGGCAGTCCATGAGCAACTCGCTAAACAGATCTAAACAGAGAGGCTTCGAAAGCAGAGACTGGAGAGGATCCAACCAGGAGACAGAACGAAGCCACATGGCAAACTCGCATACCCGGAAGTGGCCAGCAAGAAGCAGAGAACAGTCTGGCACTTTGAGAAGACATGCGTGGCACCTGTGATTGGTTTGTTTGTACTGCGGTCCGGCCAGTTCTGTCCGTTGCTAGTCCAATGGCCCGTGGCCCACATGTGCCGAAGATGCACGACAACAATGCAAAAATGGCCATGTAAACATGAGCTACACCCCAGGCCCAAGTCGAAGCGTTTGCTCAAAGTTCCCGGATCACCAGGGATTTCGAACCGTCATCCTAACTCGGTATACCGTCCTGTATCATGGCAAAGGACGGAGTAAGGCCGTCACCAAAGCCGTCACTTCGACGGGACTGACAGTGCCGGCCGATTGGAGCCCACTGCTACGCGGGGGCGAGACCCGCCAGTCTGGGCGCGGAGCACCACGAACGCTCGATTCGGCTTTTTGACGCCACGACGAGGGCCCCTTGAAAAAAGCCACCCTGGACCGAACTGCAACAGGCCTAATGACAGCTAGCAGACAACCCCCGCCAAGGTCGCACCCAGATCTGCAGCTTATGCAAAGATCCATGCGCACACGGACTGCTCCCACACCAAATCAAATGAGCGCGGACGTGACCTACTGGTTACCGGTTCGCTGAGCTTCCTAAAGTCACTCAGCATCGATTTCACGTTTGCAGACGAAGTGTTCATGGAGCACAATTCAGGAAACTTTCGAATCATGGCATTGACCCGGGACAAATCAAGCCATGGGATTCGTCACGGGCGCAGAAGCCCTTCAATCTGCACGCTGGAGCAATACTCGATGAGACGTTGGACAATCCGGCAGCCGTACCTCAGGAAATTCGTCTGCTCAACGCTCCACAAGATCCACGCCACGTACCTAAAAGAGCAGCCGGGCCACTTGTGCCGCGCTGCCTGTACTGCAAGTCTTTCCTTCGTGAGCACATCCACGATAAACTGAAGATCTTCCGGAAACAAGGCCTCAGTCGAGCATGTTCACAAGAGTACGTTAGATGCAACGTCAGGTAATACTTCAAACTTGGGTGATTCGGGTTTGTCGGCCACAGCCTTTGTGGTTCATACCTCCGAGGTTATGGCCTGGACCTGTTCACGGGACCTTGACCCGCCGAGAAATCGCCCCCCAGAGCACACAATCCAAACTCTGTGATGTGAGGGACGTTCCGCATATGTAAAGCATGCTACCTTTCGAAGGCTTTCATTGTCCCAGGAAAACAAAAAACGGGGGGTGTGTGCCCAACGCTGCTCTCGTGACGAGAGTGGTAAGTCGTTGTCGAGCCATGAGCGCTGGCGGCCCGAGTGACGTCCCGGTGGAGGTTGGCTCTGCTGCGCAGGATGATGTTCAAGGTTTGCCTCAGGCGGTGGATGGGCCTGTGATGCTGCCTGGAGCGGCCCCTTTGTCGATTCAAGATCTGCTGGTGCGCCGAATGGTCAGGACCATGAAGGCGGTCATGCGGACACTGCTTTTCAAAGCGTTGCTTCTGAGGCAGTACCTGTTCCTGGAGAGCTGGATGTTCGTGTTGATGTACCTCCGGGTTTTGAATGTGGCGGACAAGGCCTAGTGATGGGAGCTCCAGCTAAGGGTCTGGTGGGGTGTGGAAGGAGAGTGGAAGCCGTACATGATGGTGTAAGGGCAGATGGTGATTCAGGCCGTTGAAGCAAGAGCGTCGGCGGTTGGTCTCTCTTTGGCCGCCCCGACGTGTGCCCCTGCTGCTTCGCCTGGATCCAACGTGGATGTGACGGGTGCGACTCCTCCGCCCCCGCCGCCGCCTCCACCAAGGTCTCCGACTGCACCGAGGAGGACTTCAGTTGGCAGCAACGCCACAGCGGGTGGCACCAGTGCCCCCGCCGCCTCCCTCGACGCCGGGAACAGAAACGTCTGGAAGCTATGGTGCCACCTCTCCATAACGGGATCGGAGACCAGGAGGGTCGAATCGGAGACCAGGACGGACGAATCAGAGACCAGCAGGGTTTTTTTTTGAAATGAAAGACGCGGCGATGCCAAACATGAAACGGAGAATTATTTACAGGTCCTCAGAAGCTTGTTGCAAGACACAAAGCTGTGTACAAACTGGCTCGCCCGGCATCTCTGGCACCGAACTCGGCCACTCTCCACGTATGGCTGATGTGTGTGGTGGACTCCTACAGAAGGCCTTTTTCCTGCGGTGCATGTGCGGCAAACACACCATGAATAAGCCTCTTCGCCTGTATTCTGGTGATGAAAGACGATTTCTCAATCAGAGACGAACTCTCTAAGTCATCATTGTCGTTATGTAATGCGACACGGACATCTAGGTGTTCCTGCTCTCAACCTGTGCTGACTGCGATGCTGTTTTGCTCGAAGACTAAGCCGTCAAAATCATCTCCTGAATCCTGTACAACCTGGTCTTTGCTGTTTCTTTGGAATAGGAAAGCTTTGGTTAGCTTCTTTCTTTATACTGTACTGATGAAGACACTGGAGAGGCGATCAAATGGTCTCACCGAACTCCCACAGGATGCCACTGTGCTTTCAGGAGAACCGCCCGTGGCCACTTCATCCAAGCCACTGCAATGCATCTTTGGAGCACATGATTGGCATGCGGGCAGCAGGTGGCATCCCAAACCTGGGAAGCCATGCTCCGCTATACCCTCTGGTCGTGCGTCTTGGTGCAGAGCACCAGCAGGCACACTAGCAGTAGCTTCAAGACCTACATGTAATACTTTGTATACACCCGGCCCGGATCAACACGCTTTGCTACAGGCCTGGCACGATAATTCAGAACTTCAACATGAAAACGCCTTCTCACCGTCCGTTGAGGGCAAGGTGCATGGTCATGCAACTCAGCAGCGATTCCCGCCAGGGTATTCGCATCTGCAGTTTCGATGGCATGTTGTACTTCTCGGCAGCCAATGGGATCTTGGGAATACTCCCACACCTTGCCTATCACCTGTATTCCTAAAGGAGCATACTCAGACTTTTGTGCTTTGGACTCCTGGCTTGATTTGGCTCTGACATCCTTGGACGCGGTTTGTTCGAAGACCTTCGCAGTCACGCCTTTAGGCCGGAGGTGGTCGGGTAAAAAGCTGGACCACGGCGCTGCAGCACCTTGCTCGAGGCGGCCCAGCAGAACTTTCATCGGGAAAGTCTGGCGCCCAGACGGCGCCGGCGGCATTTGCTTCGGTCTGGCCATGGCCATGCATACAGCACCGGACACCGCGGACACACCGGAGATCTCCTACATTTCTGAGAAGCAGCTGCCCCAACACTTCGATTCAAGGACACAAAAGCTGTAACATGTGCGTTGGCGATGTGAATTGAAGGGCGAGTGCCAAAAGCGCTCTCTTCACTGCGATGCAGGGTCGGTTTGCAAGGCTTCAGATGGATCCTCTTTGCCAATGGCCTCGGTGTGGCAAGGCGCATGGCGTCTGCGTCTGGCCGTGTCGGAAGCAGGCCCAAGTCCGGCGCCACACGAAAGAGACGCCTGAGGGAGGCCGCGAAAGACCCGGGTGCCTCTGACAGAAGGGCAGTGGCAGTGTGCCCTTGAATTGGATTCTCTCCAAGCGGCCTCGTAACGGTCGTGACCTCCAATTCAGCAAAGCGCTGCAAACTTAAAGGAACTTGGCAGCTTCGGCAGGTGTCCACTGCCTACCTCCAGTTCGAAGCCACTCGTTCTCTCTTTCGAGAGCCTCCAGCGCCTCCAGCAGTCCCACGCCCGGTGGCCCCCCATTGCCCCCTGTAGGGCGATACATACTGGAGCGTCGACAAGAAGAAGAGCAACTGAACGGCGGATGAAAAGTCGCTCATTCTAGATGTTCGAGCAACTTCGTCTCTTGGTTCTATTTGCTGCAAAAAACCAAGCTGACAATCCCGCCTAGGATCAGCAGTAAGTTGCGGAGTAACAGACCGTCTAACAGGCTGGTTGCAAGGTTTGCCTGCTGCAAAGCCTTGAGCTCGCGCCGGCGGTGGAGTCGCGCTTCATCGACCTGAGCATACCGGTCAAAGTAGAAAGATTTTCGTATGGCAGAGCATTCAGTTTCACAGATTCCACAGTGCACAAGGGTTCCAGTGGCAGCAGAATGCCAGTTATAAATGTATGCAGATACGGCTGCGGTCTTTTTGAAGCGACGTCCTTCACCGACAACGGTGCATTTCTCGGAGACTGCGCTAGACCTTCCAGCGTTCCTCAAAGTCCCGAAGACCGAAAGTTGAAAGCCATCTCGAGAAATGCGCACTTCACACGTGGCTGCGTCGCTTTCTGACATACGAATGTGCTTGCTGTAAGATGCCGCTAGCTTCTGTGCATGAGAAGCTATAGGAACGGAAACGAGTATCAAGAAAGTTACACCGCTCTCGCCGAAGAACGTGTACAAGAACAGAACCCAAGACCCAAGGGCTGGATGAAGCACGCTTTGCACGAAGAGAATCCGAGGCAAGATACCTCCCCAAGTAGTTCTGCCAGTTCTATCTTTGATGCCTCAACCAACAATGTTCATTGCTTGTGCAGCGAAATCCTTGCACACTTCCCTGCGGCTCCTTCAAGGCATCGGTTTCCGGACCGTCCCTGGCCCACTCCCGGCTGGCCTTGGGCCGCACAGCTCAGCTCAGCACTCTGGAGCTTTGGCTCTGGGACTCTGGGAGATTCTGGGAGCACCACCGAGGCTGCCAGCTGTGCTTGTCGCTCAACAGCAGATTGTGCGGCTGCGGCTGCCGCCTCGAGCTGCTCCCGCCTGAGAAAGCCGCGATCCGCTACCTTAGCCCTGCCTCCACTTCAGGAAATCGAGTCACTGACTGGTCCAGTTGCGCCTCCAGCTTCTCTTGCAGCTGATGGTGATTCTCCTCTCGTCGACATCTCCGTTCTTTCAGTTTTCAGGCGTTTGCACGTGTAGGTCCTTCAAGGCTTCCAGGGCCCGCTTGGCCGCAGAGGCCCTGGCGGCAGCTTCCGCTCGCGCGCCTTCGCTGCGCGTCCGAAAAGGTGGTCGGCGGGAAAATTGGTCACCAGAACGACTGAATCGGTAACCAAACCGGTTGAATCAGAAACTAGCCATGATTCCGAAACCAGCCATGATTCGGAAACTCAGAACGGCTGACTCGGAAACCGCTGATTCAGAAACCAGACCGACAGATTCCGAAACCACACCATGATTCGGAAACCAGAACGGCTGATTCGGAAACCACAACGCCTGATTCAGAAACCAGACGCATCCTTAAGAAACCAGAAGCCGTCATTAGCAAACGGTTCTCAAAACTCGTTGTTGGCCCATGGATGCTCTCTTCTCAGAACGCATTCGATCATGGACGTCATCATGGTTGGTGCATGGATGCTCTCTTCTCAGAACGTAGTAGACCACCCCCCGCACGGATGTCAGAATGCATCATGGACATTATCATGGTTGGGCCATGGATGCTCCGTGCTCCGGACGTCTCAGACCATGGACGTCATCATGCCCCCCACCTGGATGCTCTCTTGACAGATTGCATCAAACCATGAACGCCATAATGGTTGGACCATGGATGCTCTGGGCTCAGAACGCAAAAAACCATAGACGTTATCATTGCCCTCCCATGGATGCTCTCGTGTCAGATTGCGCAGTCCATGGACGTTATCATCGTTGGGCCATGGATGCTCTCTTGTCAGCATGCATCACACCATGGATTATTATGATAATATAATACAATACAATATAACAATGTATTGTAACATATCATAATCGAACAAAATAGAACACAACAATAAACAACATCATATGGTGTATATGATATGCAATAAGACGTGTAATAGACTAGCAAAATAGAAACTGATACTAACATCCTCAGTATAAAACAATAACCGTTGTCTATGAACATATTAGCCAGGTTTTGCTTATTCTTGACATAGTACGCATATGATCATATAACAATACGAGTCTTCTTTATATAACGTTAGACCGTTAGACTGACTTGTGACATATCTTGCAGTATTACCAAAACCGGAATTTACCATTGATGTAAGAGTTTGTTTTACCTCAATCTACATATCATATTAAAATTAAGATCGATATAAGATATAGAACAGTACAATGTTTGTATGACAGATCGCATCAAATCTAATCTAAGCCATGCCAATACGGTACGTTGCCTCCACCGGTATATTGCTTCGAAGCCCACTTGTACGTAAAGACTTGGGCCACGAGCCCCCCCGCCGGCCGCCCCCACACCTCGCGAGCTCCCCGCAGCCCCCGCACACCCCCCCGCACCCCACCCAACCCACCCCCCGCAGCCCCCCAAAAAATGCAAAAAACATAAAACAAATAAATAAAACCCCTCCGCTTCTTATGCGCAGTATCTGATGGGTTTTTTCAGGTGCCTCTGGTTTCTGACGCGCAGTTTCTGAGTCAAAGCCCGGTTACTGATTCTGCAATGGATCACAAAAAAGGTACCCGGTACCTTTGTTTTGGACACCTTAGCGCCGTAGCCTGCCATGGGCCTGAGGGCTTGACTTCTACCATTTTGTCCTCTGCTTGCAGGGGTAGTTGCAAGTCCCAAATGCCATGTTCAGGCTGAAGCGGTCAACGGTGAGCGAAATATAGCAACAGTGTGAGGAGAGGTTGCCTGCAGCTTCATCAGCAAAGCTTTTCTCCTCACGACAGGACATTGAACAAAGATCAGGGAGTTCTGGAAGTTTGCTGCCAGGCTTGCATGGCTCGAACTGTAGCTCCTGCACAGCTTCACTGGGAAGCTTGAGCAGAGCCGCTCGCAACGCGCGCAGTGCCTCGCAGCCTCAGGCAACACAAAGAGTCTTCATTTCACGCATCGACATGTCGTGTGCTCGGCAGCCGGCGGCCTTGCCTTCTTGCCTGTTCGGCCTGCAACTGCTCCTGAAGCTAAGCTTTTGCGTCCTACATCTCCTGCCAAAACATGGCTTCCAAGTGCTTTTGCCAGATTGAAGCGTCTTCGGCTGTTTGACTACAGTTCAAACGATGAAGGTGTGAATTGAGTTCAAGATGTGCAATCGATTTCGGGGCAAGAGTGTAGTGGAGAAGTTCATACCGTGAAAACTCTTTGCAAGCACTTCAGGGCTGCGATCATTCGCATGCTTCGGCATGTCTGTGGTGTGTACAAAGGGCAGGTACGATCTGCATTACCCCACCTCGGTGAAGTTGGCTAGCTTGCGGAGCCGCTTCACCGCTCTTTCTCAAAATCTATACACATCAAACTCACCATCATCTACCGAGGCAGTGCTGGCACGGAAAAATCCTCTGAACACTACTTGAATTCCTAATGTTGCCGCAGCCTGCAGATGATAGCGTTCGCCATGGGACGTTGCAACACAAACCTCCAGTGGAACTGTCCTTTGTAGAGCGTTCTCAAGCCGTCCAGTGAGGCTCCGGTTCTCGTGCCGCAGGTCTCCAAGCATGCGTTTCATCTCCCTGTTCTGCCGGCACCCCTCACTCAGAGGTGCTTGCAAGTCGGTGGCTCGGTCAACGTACTCCTGGATGAACTGCTCTTCGATGCTGTTCGTCTCGGCGCCTGGCCTTTTCGCTCTGTCGCTGGCGAGCCCTAGCCACCAAGGCTTCATCATCGTGGGGTGCCTCTGTTTGAGTTCCTGGCGACCTCTTGTTTGTACCCTGTAACAACCAGCTCAGCCCTCACTTAAAGAGGCTCAGCATTGAGTACGGCACGCACAAGAAGATAGCCAGCGTCACTAGGCCAATTCCAACCAAAACCGCTGTAGTGTAAAAGGTCTCCAGGTTCCACCACACCGTTATTCGCGCAGCCAAGCTCAAGCCCTGGCCACCACGGACCTGGGCCATCAGCAGCAAAATTGGCACGAGATTGCCAATTGAAGCCACGGAGTTCACGTTGACGTTGGTCTTGCACTCCTTCAAAGCCTTGCCACCGCTCGCTTGTCATCGGTGGCTTCACTGTCGGCCTGCCCACACGGCTGCCCATCTGGAAGCACTGCAACCATGGTGAAAAGAAGCTCACGGATGCGGGATCCGCAAGGGTTTTGTCCATATATTGCTGGGGTTGTGGCTGCCGGGAATGCTCGACATTGTCACAGCATTCTCTTTGACAGCTTGCTGAATCCAAAGCAAACCACATTGTAGGTGTCTCACTCGTCCGCATCCCAAGGGCACTGATGCCTTTGCAGGCTGCACTGTCGGTCCGCGAGTTTCCACCATGAACTCATCTCCGACCAACAAGCGGACACAGTCGGAGACATACATGCATTCAACTGCTCCTCCAACGAGTGCCACAAACTCGCTCTCGCCGGATCTGGGAGCCACCCTGCGTTAACTCCAGACGAAGCTTCCCACCAAACTGCCGCCAACATACATTTGGGCGGCCGCGCGGCTCTTTCGGTTTCGCCGGTTCCCAGCTCAACGACGATCTTGCCGCCGCTGGCCCCCAACGGCCCTTTGCCCTCGAAGGCGAAGCTGCCGTCGTTGGCCACCGGGCGGATCATGAAGCCGATCTCTGGACCCACAGGCCACTTCATTGCACCGGCCGTCGGGGAAGACATCTTCGAGCTCAGGATGCACACAGCAAACTGCGCATCCGTCTTGCGTGGGAGAGGCAAAGCAGACGGCCAACGGCTTCACGATACTCTCGGGCCGCCTGGCGGTCTGGCGGTTCAGCTCCTTGCTGTTGTCAGGCTCGAGGAAGGAGGCGTCCGCAGGAGCATCCCTGCCCTTGAGCCCATAGCCTAAGCTCTTGAGCAGCGATTCGCGGTACCTGCCATTGGAGAAGACCGCAATCCCATCCTCCGTCCTCACATACTTCCTCTTGAGGAATTGCAGCTCGTCGCTTGGGTGGATCACTGGAGCCGAAAACTCCACCTTCACCTTCTCGCCCAAGAGCTTTTGAAAAGCTGCCTTTGTCGAAGCAAGGAGGCCGTCGCTCGCATGGAGGATCAGCCCTGCCCTGCTCCCAAGCTTGTCCTTCTTGAACAAGGTGGGCAAGGTTGTGGTAGTTCGCGTAGGCTCAAGGTCCAGCTAGCTCATCCATGGCCACATCGCCAGTAACAGCATGAACCCCTGCAAAGCCTGGTGGGTGCAAAGTGCTGGATAAGGGTGTAGCAGTAGGACTCGAACCAGAAGCACGAGGAGTAGCAAACGTGAAACCTGGTCTCTTTGGGTTCGCCTCTCCTGCTGGCCCTGGCCGCTCACCTCCATGACCACTGAACCCCAGACCTGTGTCCATTGGCGCTGCCGCCTGGGACCCACCAGCACCTGGCAAAGAGTCATTGTCAAAAAGGCCAGGTGGTTGTAGTCGATCCTGTCGTGGCTGCTGGCTGCTTCTGCTCAGGCGGTGGTCGTCGATCCTGTTGCTCTTGCTGCGTGCTGGCGGCCCCGGCGACGAAGGCAAGGTGGGCGAAGAACTCGTAGAGGCATCAGTTCCCGCCTCATCCAAGTTCGGCTTGGGCGTCCCAGCTGCAATTGATTCAGCAGCCGCCCTGCCAGCTGCCGTTGCCAACTCCTGCAGCGCGGCGTTGTCTGGCAACAACGGTACATTCGCCTTGGCCCCAGTGTAAAGCAGTAAAGCGGGCGGCGTCGCCGGCCCTTTCCCTCGTAGGAGCACGGAAAACCACGAACAGCCATCCAAGTCCCACTTAATTTGCCCCTCAGCGACCGTGACTCAAAGGTGCCATAGCCGGTTCCGAGAATGTGGCATTGCTGCGCTCACCCCAAGCCAAATGCCCCGGGTCCACCGGAATTCCCCTTTGTGTCTGCTTGGCTTGTGGAAGATGATTCGTTCCCCGAAGTCCTTTAAACTTCCTGCCGCGCGTGATCTCGTAGGCGCCGCCACCCTTGGGGTTCACAGCAAAGCGGTTGTATAGAGGAAGAACCACCATTATACACGGGCGCCCCTCGATCTTGCCTTTCACGCGGTCCTGGACGAACGCCTTGCGGGTAAGGGCATTACGGCGCACAGTGTCCACTGCCTTCTCCACGCGGCCGTTCGAGGCATGGCTTGCCTTCGGGAGCATTCCTGAGGCCAATCTTGCTTCTGCACGCGGACACCGTGTTCACAACCTGTTTCGCACTTGGCTCTGCGTCGTTCTGAACCACAACCGTGCCGCAGGGGGAGACTTGCAAGCTGAGGCGGACAATCTGCTCGGTGACTCGCTTTAGCGAGAGGACCGGGATAGCTGATATCCACCCAGTCGTGGATTCAGCTGCCAACAAGCAGAGACCATACACTGGTCCCGAACATCCACAGGCCCATCTCCATCTTGGCGCTCCTGCGGGGCCTGGCTTGCTCTGCTGGGTTCGCCTCGTCCTCCCCGCGAAGCTTTGCGAAGCTATACCCGTAGTCGATCTGGATCACCGGCTTCCCTGGCCTGGCTCCTGCGAGGGTTCTGCCGGCTTCGTCCAAGTACGCAGGCCTCGCACCAGGGCTGAAAGGGAGGGTCACGTTGTGAAGGTGCTGCTGGCAGGACCGGGGTCTTGAGGATTCCTGGCTCCCTTTCCTGCTCAAAGAACATTTTTCGTGCAACCTCCGAGGCCAACTGCTTCACGAGAACCTCGTAGTGGAGCCGAAGTCGTTGAAGTACCGTGTTCTTTCCCCCGCGCACTGACACCCAACTTGCGACGTACTTCTTTCAAGTCCTTCAGGGGGGTGTCGACGGAGAGCTTCACACCCTCAAGCTCCCCACCATCCTCTTCCTCATCCTCCTTGAGCTCTCGGCCCTCCATTGCCATCACCTCCTTCCGGTTCATCTCCAACACCTCAGGCACCGTCGACTATCGGCATCGGCACTGCTGCATTGTCGTTCTTGGGCTCGGCAAAGACGCTGCTGGGGTGCGAGAGCAAGTCCTTGGCCAGCTCCTCCAACGCAAGACCATTGCAACATCACGCCGGCCTGTAAGCTTTGGGCCCAGGTCCTTGAGCAGCTGTGGCGGTGGCTCGAAGTCCTCCGCTGATCTCGGCCACTAGGCAAGATATGCCATCCTGGGCTCCCTGCAAGGCACTCGGCTTTGGGAGGAAGCCACCCCAAATCATCGAAGAACACCATATTGACCTGCTGGGGCGTCCCAGCATCAGGCCTGGGCCGCTGAGCCTCCAACGCCGGAGCAGCGATCAAGCCACGGTCGCCAAGATGGTCAGAGTGTTCCTGCGCAAGCGTTTTGGGAGTTGGCGGCTGCGGCGCTCGATCACTGGCTTGCCTTGGCATGTTCCCAAAGAGCAGCACCCCAACGAAGAAGGCGGCCCACGAAAGGATGATCGACTCGACCGCGGCGACGCAAAACTTCTCCCTCAAGAGCAGCGGGCTCCCTCGAGCGTGTCCAACTCGATGTCCAAGACACGGCTTTCCCAGCCTAGCCAGCCGCAAAGGTGCCACAGAAATGTCGGCACCCGAGTCGATCACAATCTCGCTCTTGCCCCGGATTGCCATTACCGCTATAGCGGCTCGGCCTCACAAAGCCCTGGCTCAACAGTCCAGCCCCCACCCTCGTGTCGCGCTCGGCTAAGGTGTTTTGTTTGGGCGGCAGGGATTCACGTTGGAGTCAGGAAGGTCCGGGCAGGAGATCACCATCACCTCGTCACCCGCAAGCCCAAAGTCGAAGCCACCCTCAAGCTCGGTCAAAGCAAACACCTCAGTGACTCGGCAGCTGCGGGGCGTGGGGCACAGTCAAAGGTCTCCACTCGGTTCACATTGTACCCCGCCTGGGCGTTTAGAAGGCACCCACTGTCGCCAGCACCAAGTCCTCAGGGAAAGGCTTTCCACTGGTCGGCTCTGTCATCAAACTTCCAAGCGGCAAGTTGCCGCATCATCGCCGAGCCTTTTCCATTCCTCCTCCCAGCCATTTGCCTTACCAGCAAAAGCGGGCGGCCCTTCAAGACATTGCACAGCACGCCGAAGAGGCGTTGCGAGCGCGCTTCCTGAGCGTTTGGGATCACATCATGATCCACAACCTTGTCCAGATCCAGGCTTTCCAGGTCGCCCTCGTAATCGGGGTCGTTCGCGACAAACCAGTTCGTAAACTGGAAGGCCCACTCCTTCCATGTTTCCAACTCTTCTTCCCGAGTTGTAGGTTTCCAGCTCTCGACCTTAAGGCTTTCGTCAACCCGTCCAGTCTGTTCGTGGAGGCCGATGCTTCGGCAGCCACAGCTGCCCTCTAAGAAGTGTCTATAAGCTTTCGGAAAACACCGTGAAAAGCTTGCTCCAAGGGTGCCTTCACAAGACGATCCACATCATCCGGGCCCATCTGCACAGCGGGGTCCCGTCCATGTGAACTTGATCCCTCCATTTCTCATTGCATTGCTCCAGCCAGTAAAAACTTGCCTTCGCACCACCAAGGCCCTGAAGCCCCAGACGCACTGAAAACTGTTTTAATCCAAGGCCCTCCAGGCCCACAGGCACTGAAAATTCCTTTGCTCCACTGCAGCACTCCAGGCCCGTACGCGCTGAAAGCTGCTTTGCTTCACCACGGCTCTCCAGGCCGATCACCAAACTCAAAATCCGGCCGTGCCCCAACCACATTTCATTCTCAGCGGTAGTGTCGGTAGACGACGCTCGCCTAGCAAGATGAATTCAACTTGCATCTAATTGAAACTGGCAGGTGTCCTGTATGCACTTGCAGCGCCGAGCAGTAATCAGGAACACCCCCGGGGTTGGAATACCGCGCGTCACAACCGGCCGCCGCCATGGCAGCCAGTATGCGCTAGGGCATGCTGTACAAGGTAAAGGGCCTACATGCTGTGGAAACACTGAGGTTTAAACCAGCAGGTTCAAAGCCTGAAAAGCTGTACCCCCATGTGTGCGTCACAGCTCAAAACCAAGACTCGCAAAAGTCAGCATTCGTGAAGCTTACCCTCACTGTTTGCTGTCATGCGCTCAGTTGCACACTCATTCTCCATTCCGGGCTCCACCATTCCATGGTGCAGACGGCCAGCATCCCACAAGCCGCCAGGATCCCAAACACCACGCTCACGACCCAAGGCATGGAAAGAGGAGGCTGCACACACGGCCGTGTCACCCCAAGCGCTGTCAGGCAAGCTGTCCTGAAGGAACAAGCCGATGAAAGCAATCACTGCTGACCTTCCGATTGCCCGCCGCATCGCAACCTTGGCGGTCTGCCCAGCTGGGTTGCTGGAAGACAGCACGTTCCAGGCCAACTCTGTCTTTGGCATGTTGAGGCCAACTGCCGCACAGAGTCGGCAAAGCTTTACGGATCCCATAATGTAACCATGGCCCAATCCAAAACGCCGCTGATTTGGTAGTGGCTCCCAAGCGCCAATCCGCTCCCATCCACAGCAACTCTCATCTGAAAGCTGTGTAAACAACAGCCTGCCACGTTCAGAAGTTGAGGACGCGGCACACGATATGCCACCGCTAAGGCGCCCACTATCATTCGGGACTTGGGCGCCGCTGCCACGCAGCATCTGATGTACAGCGGGCCCGTCACCGGGATGGTTCAAAGGCTCCCAACCACCTTGATGGTCAAGCAAAGTGCCAGTATGACAATCCTGCGGGCAGCGAATATTCCCAAATGGGCTATCTCGCCACCTCTGCATGTAGACATCCGCGGCATCGCAAGCTGACAGCAGATCAGAATCATAGACAGAAGAAAGCCTGGAAGGATTTGGTTCGTCCTTGTGGGCTCCACTGTCCAGAGAACTGCAAGTACAGAAGTCAGTGTAGGAGGGCCAAACGACCGGGTCATTTGCGACAGAGTCGTACCTTGGCCACTGCAGGCCACCAAATGTCAAGCAGCGATTCCTGCTGGAGCGCCTTGGGTGCCATGGCGATCTGAATAACCGGTCGTACTGCCTTCCATGCTTCATGGAAGTTGAATGCAGTACTGGGGCTCTACAGCAATCCAGCACTGTTGCTGGTCTTCTGGGCCCTGCCCCAACCACAAGGGGTCTTACGAAAGAAAAAGATTGCGGGTAGGCGACCGAAGTCGCAGCTTCCCGGGTTTGCAGGCACAGCGATGTGCAGCTGCAGAAGGCGAGGGCAATTATACGGTGAAGCAGGTTGGGACTCGAGGCTCTTGGGCCTATCGCAAAAGGTTCCTGGAACACCTAAGGCGCTGCGCCACATGAAAACTCCTTTCAAGCATCCGTCCTACCAGTTCCCAAGAGCCACATGAAAAGGAGGCCGGATGACAAGCACGAGGCAAGTCGCGACAAATGCTACGACAAACCGCCGCCTGCAGCTCTTCAGCCACGCTCTCCATTCCTGGACATTTGAGGCGAAAGAGGCGAGAAGTGCAACTTCACAGCTTGGCGGCTTGGCACTCGGCCCGCACCGTCAGGCAGGCCTCAACTTCAATGCATGCCAAAGGCTTAACCATTACAGCATGCTTCGAATTCTCAGCTGGCGACTGGACATGAACGCTGCAACCTCATCTGCGGTTCGGCCTCGAATGACAAGATAAGCCCTGATATGCAGAACAATGCCGGAAGAACTGCCACAGGCGTTCAACCATCTCCTGAAATAGGCCATGTACTGTTGCCAGGCTCACCTTGCCAAGGAATGCAAAGCACGGCGACAGCGAAGCACTCGGAAGTTCGGCCTGCATAGGTGCTCGAGGTAGAGCTCCTGCAGTTGCAGATAGAGCCGTCAGCACCAAAGCCCATGACCGACCGCAGCAGTGTGCAATGCCAGTGGAGACATAACAGGCTTATAGCTACACGGCCAAGTTCCCGACTCGTTTGTCGAAGGCACCTGAAAACCTGCCGATGGCTCCAACCCAAGAAGGCTTTGACACGATCTCCAATGCCTCCTGGCTCGAAAACTTCACGAGGTGATGCATCGGCCTCTCTGTCAACTTCACTCCACCAACAGGCAAATCACTCTTCTCCTCCCGATGTCTCACACAATCAAGTCCAGCAAAAGCTTTGTGTGTTATGTCGGCCGAAGGTGTTCCTCACCAGCCCGAAACGAACCGACGAGAAAACACAGCTGGGCATGTGAAGCTGAAAATTGAGGAAACCCATTGATTGTTGCCGTTCTTGCATGAACTTCAAGGTGCATGCCTGCCATGAATTCACCCTTTGCGCATCTGTGAAGGCATTCTGAGAGCTGCGTAGTGAGCGGATCCCTCCCTGGAACCTTAGCACGGCCACTGGGAGGCGAGGCTTGGCCGCTGGAAGTGCTCCCCAAAAGTCGAACGGTCCGACGTCCGAAACCTTTAACTGGGGACGCCCGAGCCTCGACAGCCCCAGATGCAGGAAGCGTCATGAAAGCATCTGCTTCAAGACCAGCCATACCACCTGCACTTGACGAGCCAGGGGAGCAATCGAATATCGGAAATGCCTGAACCATAAGAGACGAGAACTTGGAGAATCGCTAGGACCTGAGGGTAAAACATATCTGGGGTTGTCGTCTTTCTTGGTGATGCGTCGTGCTTTTTGCTCGTTACATAGGTACGGTCCAGCTAGCGGGAAATGCAAGCTGTTGGAAAGCTGCAACTGTCAGGTCAATGGTCAAGTCTCGATGTCAAGCAACGTATTGACTGGGGAATGGCATCTGCCAAATTTATTCCCAAGTCTCGGCCTCAAGCAACGATTGGGGAATTTCAATTTGTCAAGTCTGGATTTCCGGCAACCGGCAAGCCTTCAGGAATATCAATGTGTCAGCTTTCGCTTCTGGCAAGCTATGTCCGATTCAAGTTTGCAGGTTTCTGCTGCTCGGCAAGGTATTGCGGCATTTCAAGTTCGAGAGTCCTCTCTTCCATTCTTCTTCGGCCATGGTACTGCCCCGGTCATTGCACGGGCAGACCGGTGGCGAGCCGTGCGTGGCTGTTGCGTCGCCGCGTTTTGACCCGAGACGAGTCTTGAGATCCAACCCTGAATGCTTGGGCGCTGCACAACAGTTGTGGAACAACAGTGGCACGTACTCCGTACTAGCGGTACTTGCAGCAGTCCTCTTGCATATTCATCCCGAAACCCCATGCCCTACAAGCCCGAATCTCCGTGGCTTCCGGATCTAAATAAGTCGACTAAACGCACGTTTGCCTTGAAGCAACCTGGGAGCCCTGAAGTTTTGAATTGACGCCAATTAACTATGTTACGTTTGTGCTGGGCTTGCGGTGGCCGCCCCGTCCTGGCACGGCGCCTCCCGCTCCCATGTCAGCTTCGAACCACAAGATTTTCTGTCAGTCAAGGACCTGGTTAACGATGCCCGATGGGACGGGAATGGTCCGGAGCCGATTCGCTTATCGATGTCATGACTCATTTTTCAATGTCGGATAGAAAGAAAGAGGTCATGAAGTGCTTTTAGATGTCATCTTCCGAATTCATGGAATAGTTTTGCGATGTGCGGGAGCTCTTTCATCAATGCACGCAGCTCCAACCGTAAACCTGCCCGGAAAGGTGACTCCTGCACAGGTATGTGTATATATTGCATATCGCAGTCGCATATTGCGGAACAGTATTTGTTGACTATTTCCTTGCATTTCGCCTCACATTTAAGTCTACTCAACTAAGAAAACGAGAACATATTTATAAGCATCTAGCACTCATTTTGTACTGCGTTAGCTAGTCGTTGCAGAACGAGACTTAGAAACCATGCGGACGTTAAGGCATAATTCGTTCTGAGATATTTGCAACTACCGCTTGAATCATTCATGCGGAGACCAAAGCAACACGAACCTGCAAACTGAGGGTTCGTAGTGACTCAAACAAAAAAAGCATAGCAACAAATAGCTTCAACCATGCAAACAGATTTTCAGTCAACGACAAACTTTTACCTCGTCAAACACCAGGGGTAGTCGAAATAGTACAGGTTAGATGCTTGACCCCCCTTATTCATATCATTGACAGGTACCATCCAAAGAATATTGAAACGTTACTTGGCTCTGAGTTGGCTATGAAGCTTACACTACATGATGACTAAGATTTGGTGGATTCGGCTACACATCCATTGTATATGACCGAGTACTAATGGAACACCCGCTGCATAAGTGCAATGTCTATGATCAATATACTCATACCAACGAGTTTTTAAACAAATAAACATGAAATCACGTGGCTTATTAAACGAATACTGATCCACTTTTCTTTGTTGTTTTTAAACCAACTACTAGACATGTTTGCTTACTGCAATACTGAACATCAAGTAGGCACCGTAGTTTCGCACATGTAATACTGTATCAGCTGTTAACCTATGATATTGGCGAACCAGCTACTGTACATGTTTAAAAATGTGAACAGCGAAGCAATGTTGGACAACATTCGATGTCGTGTTAACTACATATATATATATATACACATATTGGTTAAAGCATCTCGAACACGGCTAGCACCAAACGAGCAGGCAAACAGCATGAAATTCCCAAAACCTCCAATTTCGAGAAAACAAATTAAGGTGTCGGACAGCGACCCCTGAATACGCCCGAGAGAGAGCGTGCAAGAGAGAAAAGACAGTTTGGGGATGTATTTTGGGAATGCAATCTCAGATGGGACTAGACCAAAATACGTCCAAGATGATTAGACTTGCAGACGGCTTCACAAGGAGGTTTCACCGGCAAACTCTACAATTCGGGATTGGATTTGGATCATGCAAGAGAAACTGCTAGGCGTAACATTCAGATGTGAGCTGGTCAGACACGGATAGGAATATGATGATGAGAATCAGCCGCAGCTCAGTCTATACTGCCGAGGTGAAGGCTCAATGCCCGAATGAGATCCTGTGAGACAACATCCCTGCCCTTTGTACACCCTGCAGGTTGATGTGTCAAGGATCCCGACTGTATAGCTTTTGGACTTCAGTCTCTTAATGTACCAAGGATCAGATGTTTCTTCTGCGTGAGATAAAGAGTCAATTCGAAGCCATGCCTGTCATGCCTCATGGTTCCACTCCGCTGACTAATCGACTACTCCCGGAACGTGAAGCTCCACAGGTTATGAGCCCAAGCCTCGTGCTTGGCGGACCAAGAGACAGCATGGCAGGCCGTGTGCCAACTTATGGAGGAGTGGACGCCGGTGGAGCTGGCCCCCCATTCCCCCATGAGGATCGCAACGTGAATCGAACTATGGCTGAAGGGCAGGCTCTTCCGAATGGTGTGGTTGGTTTTCAAGATCCACTCCCTCCTGGAGGAAGGACTGTTCCGACGGGTTCGCATGACACAGATGATCAACCACGTGGCAGTGGTTTGGGAGCAGCGGCTCCCTTTCATGGTACAGTGTGCAGTGTGGTTGGTGAAACCGGATCAGGCGCGAATGCCACGACTGGACAGGATGCTGCAACCGGACCAAGCGCGAACGTCATGACTGGACAGGACGCTTCAACCGGACCAAGCGCGAATGCTACGACTGGACAGGACGCTGCAACCGGATCGGGCGCGAACGCTATGACTGGACAGAGTGCTGCAACCGGACCGGGCGCGAATGTACGGAGGTTTCAGGGTGAGGCTTTGGGGCTCCGTAGCAGGCAAGGCCATCACCAACTGCAGCAGCAGCATCGAGATACACCAGCCCCACCTGTAGCTACGACACAGCACTACGATATCAGTACTCCACCTACACCGATGGTGGAAGCACCTACTACTTCGCAGCGGCAGCCCAGGACCACAGCGGCAGCGGCCCCAGCGCAGGTGTCCACCACGGGTGTCCTCGGTGGAAGTGAGATGGCTTTGCATCAGCTGGCTGAGCAGAGGAGCGCTCTTGTAGCGGCCTTGCATGCTCGGGCGTCAAGGGTCATCGGATCTACAGGCTCCGAAGGTGTTGAGTCCATGACCACAATGGAGGCGGGGGAGATTGCCGATGCGACAGGTGACCAGATGGTTTGGTTTGCCAGGATTCGGAATATGGTTCAACGTGGTCTGGACCGTATGCGCCCTCACCCTACAGCCTCTCCCACTTCATGGTACTCTCAGTCTCCAACCTGGTCCCTGGCTACCCCGACCTTTACTACTCCTGAGAACCCTCGCCCCGAACAACCACTACCGAGGTTAATGCAGCCCGGACACGGCGAGATCCATGGTGACCAGTCGTCGACGGGATCCTTGCAACCCGAGGTCGTCCAGGAGGAAGTGCGTAAGGCGGTGCAGCTTGCAATGCAGAGTCGCGACACAAAGGTGAGTGAGTTACAGAACGAGAATGCGGAGTTGAAACAGCTTTTGATGGCAATGATCGATGTAAGTGCGGAGGGAGCAGGCGGTGGTGCGAGGCCTACAGTCGTGAATGCCCAGGGTGCTTCTGGTGATGTGGGAGTAAACCTTGGGGAGGCTGGGGGCCAGGGCGCACCGATGCGAGGGGATCTTCGTGCTGAATGTGAGAATGCAGGCGGGCGTCTCCGGGCTCCTCCCGGTCTACCTGTGCCTTCCCGTCGAGAACATGGGGATCAGGCAGGACAACGAGAGGGGCATGCTCTACGTTCCAGGGGTACCAGTCCATCAGGAGTTAATCCCGAAGGCGGCAACGGCGAAGATGTTGCAGGAAGGCCTAAGGGGACTTCTGAAGCCGCTCCTTCTGGGAGGGCAGGGATGGGTGGCCAAGAGAGCGCAGAGGACAAGAGTCCGATGGCGTCGATGGACTTACTGGCCCAAGGCAACAGTTGCAGCTCAAGAAGGACTTCCAGGACCCTGAGCTGCTCAAGGGCAACATCACGTTGCCCGTACTTCCCGAGCCCTACCAGGACTCCAGTGCTGTGATGTTCTTGGAATGGATCTATGAAGCGGGCCAGTTGATTGGATCCATCACGGACAAGGCCACCAGCTGGTGGCTTGGGAACTTGGAACTGGAGAAGATGGCGTACTACAAGTTCCAGGCCGAGACCCCCCTGAAGAGGCTTTCCATAACCGTCGGCAATGACGTGGCGGTGGATGGGGAAAAGTGGATTCGCCTGGAGAGGCGAGTGATGGCGCTGCTTTTGGCCGCAATGAACCCCTCGATCAAGGCGGAGATCACCATGATGCGGATCGACAAGGTCAAGAGCTGCCTTTTCAAGCTCTTCACAATCTATGCCCCTGGAGGCGCGAGCGAGAGGGCAAGCCTGATCAAGCAGCTTGAACATATTCAGCCTCAGAACAACGTTGTAGAGATGATTGCCGCGCTCCACAAGTGGAAGAAGCTTATTGGCCGAGCAGCTGAAATGGGAGTCTCCCTGCCCGATGGAAGTGTGCTCCTTGTTGCACTGGAGGCGGCCATCAAGAACCTTACGGAGAACAACAAGGACATCAGCTTCAAGCTGAACATGGCTAAGAGTGAGCTGGGGCTTCCCTACAAGCCGGCCCTGTCAGCGGTGCTCACGTACGCGGACCATGTCATTGCGGAGCTCCAGCAGGTGATCCCTTTCGGCAACCAGATTGCCAAGCTGAAGGGTGCGAACGTGGATCCGAGGACGCCTTCGTCGTCCACCTCTCCAACTGGGAAGGGCCAGGGACAGAAGCAACAGCCACCATGCAAGTTTTGGTCCACTGACGAAGGGTGCCGCCGCGGTGCCAATTGCAAGTTCACGCACGCCTTTGCCAGCAAGGAGGACAAGAAGGCCAGATGCTGGACGTGCGGGGCTACAAACCACAGGCAAGCAGAGTGCCCAACGAAGAGTGGGGGGAAGCGAGGGAGCAAGGGCTCGAGTGAGAAACGTTCCCAAGGCGAGCCTACTTCACCTACTGCGACCACACCGCAGATTGCATCCCTGAACAATCCCATGCCCTCAACAATGCAGGTCCCTACGCCCTCTACCTCAGCTACGTCGACCTTGGAGCATCCGTCCCGAGCAGCGATTTCTACAGCGACCACAACATCGCCCTCCACTACGCTTGATCCTTCGCTCACCCAGCAACCTACCTCCAGCGGTACGTCATCGGCAGCCTCCACTGTTCTGTTCCAGGACCAGTCGAACACTGGCGAGATCAGGGAGCTGGCCGAACAGTTCCTTGCGAAGATCAAGCGGTTGGCACCAATGCAGACCCAGACCGACAATGCGGTGGTGGACCTGGAGTTGTTGCTCAGATCGCAGGGATTCAATGAATCCCAGGGAATGGCTCTTCTTGATTCAGGTGCCTCTCACCCCTTTCGAGTGCCGAAGTCGCTAGAAGAAAGAACCTCTTCGAGAAGGGTTCAGGTGCAGCTTGCGGACGGGAAGACCATCTCGTTGAGACAAAACAGCGGCGGCACACTGCTTGCTGAAAATGAACAGGGTGGCACAATACTGCCGCTGGGAAGTCTGGTAAGCTCTCTGGGGTGCGAACTCCAGTGGTCAAGGAAGCGTGGACTACAAGTCCGTCATCCACGTCATGGACTTCTTCCCACGAAACTCGTGGGCAACACGCCCGTCCTCCGGGAAGCGGAGGCGTTGCAGCTTATCTCGGACCTTGAAGAGGTGGAACTCCAGAAGTTAAGGGCCCAGACCACTGAGGGAGTGATCAAGACGCTGGTGACGGATGAGACTCCGACAACTTGGCTGGACCACTTGGAGGAGTTTGTGGCCACGGGTAAGCGAGCATGCCTCCGGCGAATGCTTATGGATGAAGAGGCTCCCATCAAGGCGGCTACGGAGGAAGAGATAGCAGTCCTGGTAGGAGTGGAGGAGAAGATCATGCTATCAGACGAGGCGGGCGCGTTCTACTTGAAGTCTCTTCCCTACAACCGAGCTACGCGCAAGCGAATGCTGAGGACGAGGTGGATTGTGCATTTGTTCAATGGAGATGAGCAAGGACCTGAGTTCACCTATGCAGAGTCCGATGATGTTATGGTGGTCCGAATGGATGTTAGAACGTCCAAGGGTTTCGATCTCCGAATGTATGGACCCGCAGCCCGGGCTCTTCTATGGGCAGCAGCGCGTGGACAAATCGAGGGTGTCATCGGTGGCCCACCACGTGGTTCGGAGCATGGGTCAACGTTGTTCAAGAGATTGATGTTGACATGGCTAGTGGCCAACTCTGGTGCAGTCCAACAAGCCTTGTGCGCCCCCCATTTCACGATGGAGGCCCCAACCTGGCACCCGATCTGGACAAGCAGTGCTTGGTTGAACTTCCGTGATGAACTACGATTCATGAAGTACCACTCCGTGGCTGTGCAAGGCAACATGTACTTCTTGGCTTCAAGTTTGGAGGTGTCCCAGGGAATGAGTATTGAAGAGGCGGAAATCATCACGCTCAACAACAGCACCCCAGCCTCTTCGTGGCCCACGACTTTGAAGGCAGGCCTGGCCCAGTCAATGGTAAGTTGGCGCCGAAGTGACCTACGGCGACACGAAGCTACGCTCTGCAAGGTTGTGGGATCCCGGGACCTCAATGCCAAGGATTTGGCCTACTGGCAGAATCACATCAAGAACAACCACGTTCCCTATGACAAAAGGTGTCGGACGTGTGTGCGCGCCAGCGCGACGGGCCGGGCTCATCGACGGTGCCTTACTCCAAGCTCCTACTCTCTGTCTTTGGACATATGCGGTCCTATGCGGACTCGAGGGGAATCCCCAGATGGTAAGGGGTACCGCTACCTCCTCGTCGGTGCCTACAGCCACCCCAAGCTTGAGCTACCACGCGACGTAAAACTACCTCCGGTCGAGGAGGAGGAAGATGTAGAGCCCGAGCTGGACCCTTTCGAGGAGGAGGATATAGCACCCCGTCCGGAGGACGCTGATGACGAGGAGCAAAAGGCAATGAACGAGCGCTACAAGGAGATCTACCGGGACATTGGTGATGACATCGAGTGCCAGACACTGCATTTCGTGGTGCCAAATGGCTACAAGGACATCGAAGGAGGCGCGGGCCAAGATCCAACAGATCTACTTGCAGTTGCGCCAACATGGGCTCCCGTTGGTCCGTATTCACTCGGACAGGGGACTCGAGCTCAAGGCCAAGGAGACCCGAACGTGGATGGCGGATCGCGATATCCTGGCCACCACTGGTGAAAGCCAGCAGCCACAACAGAATGGACGGGCCGAGGCCCTGGTTCGGGATGTCAAGCGCAGAGTGAAGGTCCTCTTGCGAGCAGCTCATTTGCCCATGTCGTGCTGGCCTTTAGCAGCCGAGTTTGCAGCCCGAAGACAGCGAGATCTGGCCTTGGGAAACCACGAGGACAAAGACCTCCCCTTTGGTGCCCCCACCCACGTGAAGCACAAGCAGTTTGGCCAAGGTGGGCGGTATGATCTACTGGAACGCTGGTGCGAGGGAGTCTTTGTGGGATACTCCAATGATGTGAAGAATGGAAGAGTGGTCCGCCATACGGATGGAACCTACACCACCTCGGTTCACATCAAACCTTATTTGTTTGACCCTGGTGATCTGGTCGAGTTCGGGCCCTATGAAATGGAACTACCAGTGCTGAACGGCGAGTTCGAGGAAAGGCCACCCTAGCACAACTGCTCCAGGAGCCTGACAACGAGATCGACAAGTTCGCCAAGGACCTCCTGGACCACCAGAAGTTCACTTTGGATGATGTGGTTGGGTTGTGGAATGTTTTGCGGACAAAGGCAAGGCCAACAACAAGGACTACCCAAGGTGAAGGTCTTCAATGGTTGGTGGGCCAGTACACCTATGGAAGTCTATGTGGGGTTGTGCGAGACACGGACCTCTACCCCGTGGCTACTGTGTACTTGGTGCAGGCCTTCAAGAAATTGACGGGTCATGATGACTTCACCTCACTGTCGATCACCGAAGATGTGGGGATGACCTGCCACCGTGATGTACACAATCATGGCCAACGCAACAACGTGCTTCTTCCTGTACTACAATGTGACAGTGGAGGTGGGGTTTGGATTGAATCACAACCTCGGGACTACGACTACGCCGATGAATGGAAGGAACTCCCTAGAGGTGGATGGCGCCGGGGGCGAGTTCATGAGTTACAAAGGGGTGTTCCTATCGAAATCAACCCGAAGATGTACCACTCCACTGAGCCATGGACAGGGAAGCGGCTTGTTGTAACAACCTACACCCCGAGGACTACAAAGACGGCCAAATCGACCTACGACATCCTCTGCAACTACGGGTTTAATCCTCCTCCACTACAACCACAAGTTCCCAACGAACTTCAACGAGCCGTTTTGAAGATGATGACTATGGATGATAAGAGGGAACCCGACGCGGTGATGTTCCTTGTCAATGAGGTTGAGGAGGAGAACCGCGAGAGGGCAAGAGACGTGAGTCGGGAACTATGCCAACTACAAGACGATGTTCTTGCCAAGTTGCGGGAGAGACAGGAATGGTTGAAGGAGTTCCTGGCTGAGGAGGAGATCCTAGCTGAGGAGCTACAGGTCGTTGGGGAAACGATCAAGGAGGAGATCGAGGGCATCAATGGTGCAGTTCGGGATCTACTTCAGGATGTAGAGGAGAAGATCAAGCTCACCGAGGAGAAGTGCCACTCCCTCTACCTCAAGGTCGCCAATGTTACGGACGAGACCAATATCGGTGATATTGAAGAGCACCTAGCGAATTTGAAGAAGGATCTGGACGTGACATTGGACGTTCCGTTGGACCAAGTGAAGGCCAACATGGACAAATGGGTTGAGCCTATGAGCAAGGAGTTGTCCAACCTCGAGGAGAAAACGAACGCTATCGAGCGGAAGACGATCCAGGAGGCTCGCCAGATGGAGCGTGACGGCCTTTTGGTCCTCATACCTGGCAAAGTGGTTTTCACCGTGAAGCCACCACCACCTCTTTCGGAAGCAGAGCAACGAGGATTGAAAACACCGCGGTGGAAACGCAAGGCACGGATCGTTATCTGTGGCAACATGGCCAGCCAGAAGCATGATCCCAATGACCTCTTTGCCGCTGGTGCGAGCGTGGAAGGGCTACGTTTGGGCTTAGCTTTGGCATCGGCAAGACTGTGGATAGCAGCGGCTACGGATGTGAGCGCGGCGTTTCTACAGGCTTTGTGGCCGGAGGGAAGACCAACCTACGGGGTGCTCCCACCCAAGGTTTTAGTCCAATCAGGGCTGGTGTCGGCGAACGTTGTGTTCATCGTGAAGAGAGCCTTGTATGGGCTCAGAGAGAGCCCGGCCTTGTGGTCGGCTCATCGCACAAGTGTCCTGAAGAAGATCAAGGTGAAGTGTGGTGATGGTTTCATGTGGCTGAAGCAGCTGGCCACGGATGGCGAGCTGTGGATGGTGCTGTGGACTCCTGATGGTGGCATCCCACAGCTGGTGGGCTTACTGGTCACCTACGTTGACGATCTCTTGTATTTGGCCAACAAAGATACAATTCTTCGACTACACGAGGTAATCGCTACTACATGGCCCTGCTCGCCTTTGGAGTTCTCGACGGAGGGCTTGCGCTACCTTGGTATGGAATTGTTCCAGGAGGAGGCGGTGATTACTCTAGGCCAAGAAGCCTACGTCTCCAACCTTGTCCGGCTGCACAACTTGGACTCTGAGGTGTCATCCGGTTTGCCATGTCCCCGTGAGTGGATTCAAGACGATGATGACAACGGAGAGGACGTGACCGAAAACTACAGCGATGATGAGCTAAGGAAAGCTCAGAAAATCACAGGCGAATGCCTGTGGTTGGCTTATCGAACAAGGCCTGACATCCTGTACATCACGAACTACATGGCATCGATGACCTCAAAAAGGCCTGTAAAGGTTCACCAAGTTGGGAAAAGGGTGATCTCCTACTTGAATGCCACGAAGACCTTGAAGTTGAAGGCGGAGGCCGAGGCAGAGATCACACAAGCCGCAACAGAGATCACACAAGCCACAGCAGAGATCACACAAGCCACAGCTGGTCGCAACCATCAGGCAGGTTTCAGGGTGAGTTTGTCGGGTTTCAGTGATGCGTCATTCGCGCCATACGGTGGAAAGAGCTTTGGTTGCAGTCTGGTGATGGTGGGCAAGACCCCGGTGACATGGAAGGCCGGAAAGCAACCGATGGTGGCGATGTCCGTATGCGAAGCTGAACTGATGGAAGGATCAAACTGTGCATTGCTCTTGGAATCCGTGCAGGCCATGTTGCAGGAGATTTTGCCAACGACAGCAGTTCCAGTCCTCAACGTGGACAACCAGGCAGCATGCAACATCCTGACTGGATCTGTCGGGAGTTGGAGGACCCGGCACTTGCGCATTCGACATGCTTATGTGTTGGATAGAGTGGGCAATGGCGGCCTATCTATCCAGCACTTGGCCGGAGAAGATCAACCAGCAGATTTGCCTACGAAGTTGCACTCCCGAGCGCGACTGTTACACCTTCTGGGAATATGGGGAATGGTGGGACTACCAGGCCTTGATGAGGCAAGGGTCTTGAAGGGCCTGAAGCTGGGCTGTATGTTCCTCCTGCTCCTGGCGATCCAATCCCTGGCGGTGTCGGCGGAGAAGGATCCCCTTCCGAGGACGGGGACAACGGAGTTGCTGCTCATGGTGATTCTGACATGCATATCCACAGTCGCCATTTGGGAGACTGGAAGAGCACTTGGAAAATGGCTTTTACCGATGTGCTGTGAGACAAGGAAGATGAAGAGGATTCGCAAGCTCAAGGAGCTTGCACGAGTGGCGGCGGAAGCTGAAGTGGAGAGATGGGTGGATGTGGATGCGGCTCCTTCAACCGAACGGATCTCTACAACACTTAGGGAGCGTTTTGCCAACGAGGCGAAGGGGGCCACACCGTCACCAACGAGGCGCAGATCACCGTCACCCACGAGGCGCAGATCACCGTCACCCACGAGGCGCAGATCACCGTCACCAACGAGGCGCAGATCACTGTCACCAACGAGGCGTGGGTCGTTATCACCTCCAGGTGCAACAGGAAGTTCCCCGTTGACATGTCCAAGGCCGTTAGCCCCGATGAATGCTGATGGGTCAAGGACAAGTGTTTTCGGGAAGGTCAGACCTCCTACCCCACCGATGCCTGAAGCAACTCCGAGAATGGTACCGAGCCCGGAACAACATGAACGAGAGAGAGTCAAGAAAGATGTCCTGGCCCTGATGACAGTACAACACTTGAAGGACGGGTTGGTGGCCGAGGGACTGCCCGTGACGGGAATCAAATGTGACCTGGTCCGAAGACTTTCGGATCAGCTGGGAGCAGAACCGCCTCCTGACTACTTACCGACGACCCGCCAGCTTCGTTATATCCTCTATACTTGGAGGCATCAACAGCTGGCAGGACGCACTCAGTTGACCTGGGTGGACTTGGCTACCCGGGCTTCTACTTCGGATTGGTTGGCTAGATGGGCTAAGAAGAGCTGACTGCGGAATGAAAGGTGCCACGAGCCGCGGGCTCGCGTCAAGGAGGAGTGATGATGAGAATCAGCCGCAGCTCAGTCTATACTGCCGAGGTGAAGGCTCAATGCCCGAATGAGATCCTGTGAGACAACATCCCTGCCCTTTGTACACCCTGCAGGTTGATGTGTCAAGGATCCCGACTGTATAGCTTTTGGACTTCAGTCTCTTAATGTACCAAGGATCAGATGTTTCTTCTGCGTGAGATAAAGAGTCAATTCGAAGCCATGCCTGTCATGCCTCATGGTTCCACTCCGCTGACTAATCGACTACTCCCGGAACGTGAAGCTCCACAGAATACGGGCCAGAATGTAGCTACCAAGATCATAAGATTTGTCGTATGTTTGGAAGACTCAGACTTGTAGCCAGATTAACGTGGTAAATGAAAGCAAAGCAATGACATAGCAAAGAGGTATACAGACTGTCACGGTTCGGATTCATAGAGCGTCGATATTTTTCACATTCTGGAACGGCGGAGATTAACGCAAGAATTACGCAAAAGAGTGCACGGATTGTCAAGGCCAACATGGTTCGGATTCGTAGACGTCACATGAACAGTCTTGTTGTTGCGGGTGCCGACACGTTTGGCGCATTTTGGCGCTTTGGAGACGTGCTTTGTAAGTTTGGAACGTGGTTTTGTGCGTTTGGAACGTGGTTTACAATGAGTCCCGAATTTAGCGGTTTTGCTGAGCCTGAAGTCGAAAACTCGGGTTTTGATTTGGATCATACGAGAAACAAGATTTGGTTCTCTTCAGGACTCTAGTAAGTACTACACTAGGCTGTATATACTGATGAGTGTGTACTGGTGGGTATGAACTCCTGGGTTCGGGGGCCGAACTCTACCAC